AAGGAAAGCGCACGCCTGATGAAATTGTCGTGAGTTTTTCCTACCAAGAACTGTTAGGCTGTTGGATAAACACAAGTGGCCGACAACACGTGCAACAACAACAGCGGCAACAGCAGCGGCAGCCTCAACATCATCGGTAGCTGTAAATCCAAATCCAAGTGCGACCGCCGCACTAATTGTAGTGTAGCAGAGTCTCAGCCTCAGTCTCCTTTTATGGCGCACATGTGTGCAACAGACCCGCCAAACACTATACTTGAACAAGTACTATATAGCGAAGATCGGTAGATCGAACATCGAGTGACGATGGCAGCCACGCAGTGAACCAAGTGCATTAAAATGGACTAAAAACAAGGCGAAAATCATTTGCATTTTAAGTAAAAATTTGTTTACACTTTATACGTGAGCTGTCCGAAAATGTTTTTCCTTTTGATTTTTCGCAACGGCCATTTGCCATTAAATGTGCTCTCAAAAGCCGCTTAAAAACGCAGGCAAAAATGTTTAAACAAACAGCGCACACAAGAGACCCAACATTCAATATAATGCAAATGCATATTTGTTTACTCTAAGCTTTTCCCCTCCCTCTCGCATCCCATGCTGCCCCTGTGGCAACCAGAGACATGTCGAGATTGCGCACTAAATACGTCACTGCAAGTCATGACTAATTTGCATATTAATTACAACCCAAACATAGGACGGCCTCACACTGGCGGCCTCTCTTAAAAGGATTGCCGTCAAGTAGTGAGGCGTCATGAGCATGTGTCATAAAAAAAGGTTGCATAAACAAATCCAAAGACAGCGAACATATAAACAAATTAGTGGCTGCCGACCCGCAGGACTCGCAAGCAGGCAGCTACAACAACAACAAGGACCACATGCCGAGTTTAACCCTACAACTTGTAACTGCCTCTGTCCAAATTGTATCTGAGATTTGAGATATTGTTATGGGATTCTCAGAGTCAGTTTTCGCTTTACTGATTTGCTGGGACGGCGAAATAAAAGTGATAAATAGCTACGGTATTTTTTTTTTTTTTTTTTTTTTGACAAAATAGAAAAGAAATTGGAATATAAAGTCTTATAATCTCTATGTATATAACACCTCTATTAAGTCGTCTGGACGCAGCGAAGTGTTTAATGATGTTTGACGATGCTTAAATCCAGTACCTGATCTAAGCAACATATACATATATACCATAATTTAACATAAGATTTAAGATTTAAACCCTTATTTTGAGTCTCAGAGATGGAAGTAACATTAAATAATACTGTATTTTAAAAATAGTGAAAACAATTCCTCAGGTGACTGTTTTATGTGTATGGCTTATTATTAAATTACTTTTTAGGATTTCTAAAAATAGATTTTCAATTTCTTTACGGGTTTCTTTTCTTTTAGCAACTAACCGAATAATAAAGGAAAAGAATTAAAAAAAAATAAATTAATATTTAAATATATGAAGATGGTTTTCAATATTTAAAAACATTTAAACTAATTTCCAATTGTTCTCAGCTCAATTTCAATCCAACTAATAAATAAATAGTAAAATTAGAAATAGCTTTCACCCTTTTTTAACTTTGTTTGGTAATTTTGTATTAAAAACAAAAATCTTAGGAATATTTTCAAGACTTTAAACATTTTAAAATTATTATTAAAATTATAAAATACAGAAATAGATTTCATCCTTTTTTGGGATCGTTTGATAATTTTGTATATTGAAAACAATAATATTAGAAATGTTTTCAAAACTTTAAACATTTTAAAAGCAAATAAAAAATATCTAATTCAGTCAATAAACAAAAAAGTAGTTTCTTGCATTGAATTATATTTTTCTTGGAGATAATATAAGAATTTTATTTACCCGATTAGTATTATATTATTTAGCTATTAGTAAATGTTAATCGCGTACAAAAAAATGAAAATATATAGTTAGTTGAACCACAACAATGTTGAAGAACACTTGTACATTAAACAGAGCCATATACTGAGCAACGAACTTCAATATTCATTTTAAAATACTAATATACAATTAAGATTATGTCTGATATATATAATATGCACAGTGTTTATTTAATGGAATCCAAATTTAGAGCAAATGTAACACTCATATTCATATTTCGCAGAATTTCGATTATTTTAGCATTCCAAGAATAGTATTCGATTTGTGTGTGAAAACTAAAGTATGACGAGCTAATGTACTCAGAGCTATTGTCCCAGATACTCGTATAGCCGAAGACATTCTTGTTGTTATAAGTAATTACTGCTGTCAATCGATTTTAGTGTCCCAAATTTGTCAAGACTTTTGGCTTTTAGCGCAGAGTCCCGCTGATACAGAAATGCGGCGTGCTTTTATTTTTTCAGTTGCCACTCGCGCCACTTGTACAAATAGGGGGAAAACATTTTGAAAGGGTTTCGACTGATCGTACAGTTCGTATTGATGCCTATTTGTAATATGAGTGCGACGATTTGTGCTTCCTGGCGCCAGCCTGAAGTGAAGTGCTCGATCATGCAATTGTCCTGTTCCTCTCCTGTCCTGTCCTGTCCTGCATGCCTACTGTTTGAAGAGACAGTTACTCTGTCTGTATGTCTTTCTGTCTGTCTATCTGTCTGTTTGTTTGTTTATAAACATGGAACCGTTGAATTTGTCGCCATCGCCACACTTGAGTCCTGTCGTCATCCGCCACCAACTGTGCGCCTAATTGCGCCTCCTTGGACAGATGATCTTGTGCAAAAGCCTGGCCAACTACTCTACTACACTAGTCGTATATAAGTCAGTGGTTAGTGGGTCAGTCTGAAGAGACCAGCTCAGTTCAGCCCAACCCCGTCTGAGCTGACATATTGAAGCACTTCTATGCCGACATTGAGTGCTCGTCGTCGTCATCGTCATCATCAGCGTCCTCATCAGAGATTTTGCAAAGACTCGCTCGCTAGCCATGCGTGTGGGCCACCACTCCAAAAATCCGACCACTTTAGACTTGATCGCTGTCATTTCCCATTTGAAGTGCCCCGCAGGCGACTGGACTGCCAAATGAGGTCACGCAATGAGCGCATGGGTCTAGCTATAAGTTAGAATACTTTTAAATGTATCTGTTTAGGATTTGCATTTCAATATAAATCAATAAGAATCCGAGCCGAAACTTTTCATAAATTTTCGTTTAAGAAATGCAGAATGCTTTTAATACATATATGTATATATTTCAGATGCAACCGATAAGTAAGACTTTTGATGGGATCTGTACAGATGTACATACTTATGAACATCTGAATATCTATAGAGTTTGTTTTATGCTCATATATTTGCGTTGTCGAGCACTGAAAATTTAGCTTCAGCAGTTATGTATTTGAAGGCCATATTCTGCAACTTTTCTCAAACCGATCGATGAATATTATTGCCTTCAAAGAGTCCCAATTAATCCTCATAAACAGTAGTGGATCTCCAGACCTGGACACATATGTCCGAAATGTAAAAAAGTGACACATTATTAAATGTTTTGACCATAGTTCAAGAATACTATATAACAGTGTCGGAAAAACATTTCAAATATATTGTTATACTAGCTAACTATTAGATATTATTGTATATTCTGTTTTTACACGGTTTTGATTTAACACGTTTTTAAAATTAAAAATTGTATACACTTAATTCTGTTTATACACGGTAGATTGGTTCCAGAAACAAAAATAGGTATTTGGTTCCTTATAGTATCTCTAAAGAAATAGTATATGAAATTTTTAATTTTCAAACCGTGTTATATCAAAATCGGGTAAAAAAAGACGATCTAAAACAGAATTAGGTGTATATGGTTACACGACTTTATTTCATTAGCACGAATTATTATGCATATTTTTTTACACACCTTTTTTAGGAACCAATCTACCGCGTAAAACAGAATTAATTGTATTTGCAAAATTTGAGTTCGAAATTCCAAGAATTACGGGAGTTAGAGAAAATCACGATTTTCGGTGGAGAAGGGTGGGGGTGCAGGGGAATTCCAAAAAACACAGCATATTCACATACGGCATCTTGTACTTCAAATTTGATGTCCCTAGGTCTTATAGTCTCCGAGATATAGGCGTTACGGAAAAACCCCCATAGGAGGGAAGTGGGGGGAAATCAAAAAAAATAAAACAAACTCATATAGCGTCACACATAAGGCATCTTTGTGCAAAATTTGGTGTCTCTAGCTCTTATAGTCTCTGAGATCCAGGTGTTCATACGGACGGACGGACGAACAGACAGACAGACATAGATCGACTCGTATGTCCACATCCTATGTTTGTCAATGAATATATATAATGAAATAAATAGAGCAATATTTTGATGTGCAATTAATTCTATAAGAAGCCGAAAGAACACTTGGTAGTGATTTTGCAATCATGGAGGCTTTAGCTAGATCTTTTAAGCTGACCACAAGTCATTAATAGTCGCTTATGCCTTTGCACAAATATTTATATTCTACATATATATACAAGTATAATATGAAACATATCTTTCAGTCCAATCAATTTGATAAGAAGCCAAAAAATCACTTGCTTCTACCATCATAAAGTCTTTAGTTAAAACTGAACACAAGTCATTAATAGTTGAAGGCATAACCTTTGCAAAGATATTCATCTTCTATAAACATATGTATGGGTCATAAAACATCCGGATGCATCATCCGAAACAATAAAATTCTGAGAGGGTTCTTCGTAGAATTGGAATTTCATGGCCAGAGAAGCTGCATCTAATAACCAAATATCAACTTATTGTCTTCATCGTGTAATACCCTTTCCAGGGGTATTTAAAGTTATGAATCTATAAAATAAGTTTTATCAAGGGAACTTAACAAAAACTCGTTTAAAATTTGCTCTTCATTTAGTGTTTTATTCAATTTATTTTACAGAACTAATGCTTAGAACTACTAAAGCTATGTGCACCCCAAAACTGATGATTTCCTCTATTTTTCTAGCACTACTTAACTTTCATTCTGCCGCTATCACAAACGCTTACCCCGCGTCCCTCCTTCTAATCTATTTCCACATTCTCTTCGCCATCTTCCGCCGCCGATTGACTCTCCGCCCCGCTCTCCACGCTCAGCACATTGCCGGGACTCTGGCAAGGACTGTGTTGATTGCGTGCCGGCGATGAGGAGGCCGATGAGTTGTGCACAAAGCTGGGCTTAGCGGCGTAGTCCAAGGCCTTGATGCCCATGAAGTTTGAGGGCTGCGCGGACTGTTGACTCGGCGGGGGAATGGGTTGCGGCACCTTCGGCTGCGGGTAGAAGTACGGAAAGTGCATCTGAGGGAGCGGCAGACCGCCGTAGGCCAACTGCAGCTGATGCCTGTAGATGCTCAGTAGCGCCGGATCGAGCCCATGCGAATAGCCCGAGGAGGTGGATCCCGGAGTCAGGTGAGCATAGGCCGTAGTGCCATCCTCCCGGACCAACACCTGTACGGGCACACGCTTTGTGGCACTGAGTAGAGCCGCCTCGTGTTGCTGAATCTGTTTGCGTTTCGTCTTGTAGCGTCGGTTCTGGAACCAGATCTTCACCTGCGTCTCGGTGAGGCGCAAGGTTTTGGCCATTTCGGAGCGCTCCGGTCCGCTGAGATAACGCTGCTGGGCGAAACGGCGTTCCAACTCAAATACCTGGGCGTGGCTGAAGGCGGCACGCGAACGTTTCTTGCGACTCAGTGCGCCACTCAGACTGTCGTCGTGCGAGAGGGGCGAGGTGGTGGTGGCATAGCCAGCCGCCGACGAAGAGGGTGAACTGCTCAGAGGTGGCGGCGAATCGCAGTCTAAGGGAAGAAGAAGAAGTGCAGAAAATAGCGCGCAAATTAGCCAAAAAGTTAACACAATGAGGCAGCCATTAGTGCCCATTAGGGTTGGGAACTTACCGGAATCGTTGCTGGTGCAGCGTCGCATGTCTAGGGGTAGACCGACAGCGCCAGCAAAGTAGCTCAGCTTGCTGCCATTGTTGTTGTTGCCTGCCACGCCTCCTGCACCGCCCACGCCTCCACTCTGATTATTATTATCGAGCGCCGCTGCTGCCGCATAATATTGCAGATAATTATTGCCGACTGTGGGGGAATCCCCCACCAATTTACACTGCGCCAACTTATAGATACTGAGGTCGCGACAACAGAGCGGAGGCGGGGATTTCGTGGCCCGCTCCGACTCCGGTTTCGTGGCACCCGCACTTAGTTCCGAATCGGAGTCGCGACGCGTTCCCGACGGCGGCTGCGGCGCCAGCTTGCTGCGCGTCAGTATATCGTTGATGGAGAAGGGTGTTGTTAGGGTCTTGCTCAGACCCGCCAGGGCAGAGCCACCACCCGCGCTTTCCATATTCAACATATCTCTTTCAAATATATATTCAACACTTCTTAGCACACTTGCCGTAACACGTTTACGGTCTAGTTTCTTGCTCGGCCGGATTGAATGTGTGCCTTTTGAGCGTCGTGCGGGTTCTTTAAATAGCTGCGCCGTTCCGGAGAGACTCACTCAGCCAGTGCTCTGGCTGCTCTGCCTGCTCTTGGTGGTGGCTTCCGCGCTATTTTAAATGCACGCCCTGAGATCTGTTGAGCTCTCTAGTGCCTGCGGCCTCTGCTTATTGGTCAATGGCTCTGAGTTGCTCTCAAGTGATTCGTCCGAGTGCGTAAACAAGGCACCCCAACCCCATAGCCATAATTTCCGTCACATTAGCGAGACTGCGTTATTTTTGGAAGTGCATGCATCCTGTTTATTGTTTATTCTCTGCTCTGAGTTTTTTGGGTTCCATCTCCCGCTGTTGACTTGGGATGCGAGTCTTAAGGAGCCAATGCTAATGGGTACAGTCCTGCCTGACACACTCACTAGTAAACAACTTCAGAGACTTGACGAGCGAGTTTGTTTATGTCCTGTATTTATTTGGATTAAGCAACCTTACAGAGCATTGCACAAATAGATGATTTTATTTTTGGGTCACCAGAAGCAAGACTCGCACTTTATTTTAAATAAATATACCCACATGTGTTTATCATAAAATTCATGTATATTGAAAGGGTATAATCGAAAGTCTAAAAGTATGTAACAGACAGCTGAAGGGGTAGCAGGCCCCATTTTATAGGGAACTACCTCTTCTATCTGTTATATCGATATAGGCCCCATTTTATAGATAACTACCTATTATATCTGTTATATCGATAAAGGCCCCATTTTATAGATAACTACCTATTATATCTGTTATATCGATAAAGGGCCCATTTTATAGTAAACTACCTCTTCTATCTGTTATATACTTGTATATGTCTCTCTGTCCTTATGAACGTCGAGAACTTTGGAGCCATTATAGCTGGACCAAACCTGATGTAATCTCATTATTTTATATAGCTTCTATAGAATCGATTGGTTTTAAAATCACTTTTATTATTATACGTTTTTTTTATAAAAATGTTCGAAAAAAAAATATTATATCGAAAATGGACTCACTATATCATATGCTATATGTAGCTGCCTTGGTGCGGAAATCAATCTATTTGAAAACAACAATTTTTTTGTTTTCAAAGATATGTTTTTTAAAATTTGTATGTTTTTCCTGATGGTGTTCTAAAGTCTTATTTAAATCGATGTATATAGCTGTCATAGAAACGATTGGTGAAAATTTGGTATTAAAGCGTTTTCTATAATGCCTCATCATAATCAGAAATTTTGTCAATATAGCTTCCCTATATCATATAGCTGTCATAGGAATGATTGGCATAATAAATTTAATTTTAATTGAATCATCATAATCAGTTTTATTAATATAGGAATATAGGAATGATTGGCATAATAAATTTATCTTAATTGAAAGGCGCTAGCGGCGAAAACGGCGGTACAGGGTATTTAAGAGTCGAACGGGCATAACTTTAATGTTGTAATTGTTTTTCTTTAAAAAAATATGTAGTTTTGAACGACTTTGTGCATAACACTCTAGAATATTTTTTTGTTGTAAATGTATTCGTTTTTCTATGATTTTTTATAATAATAACAAAGGAAAAACATATTTACTAATCTGGCATATTTTTCTTATTCAATTTCAATTTCAATTTATTCACATTTCTTAAAAACATTACGAATTAAAAAGTGAGGTAAGGATATCTTAATGTTAAGATAAATATAATGAAAACAGAAAAATTATTATATTTCTCTCAACTTGCTGGAAATTTAAGTGCGACTATAAGCCTTATCAGATTTTGATATATGCATACAAGTACAAGTAGTTGAAATCAATAACAATTGTTTTAATTAAAAAATGTTATTTATCAATCTAAATTGTTAATTATGTTTTATGGTCAAAATACCCAAATTCTATATGTTATTGAAAGACAATTCTAAGTAAATGTAATTTAATGGCACTTTCTGTTAAGCTACTTAGCTGACTGATAAGAAAGCAAGGGTGTAGGCAGGGGAGACCGTTGCCCCCCCTCCCTCCCTAAAAAAAATTTTGCTATATAAAGTTGGCAAATTTTCGACACTATTTCGCCTTAAAATGGAGTTGGAGTGGATTTGTTGCAGTTTTTTCATTGATCATATGCATAAGTTATTTTTAAAATGCATCGTGCATTATTTAATACAAATTTCAATTTTTTGGCCCCCCCTTTTGCAAAAGCTGCCTACGCCCTTGTAAGAAAGTATTGTTATCAGGTCTGCAAAGTAAAGGCTTTTTGCCAAATAATTTGATTGCGTTCAAAAAATTTTTCTTAGATAATTGGGGCTTTTTTTGGCCTTTGTTATCAATATAACACATGCATTCATTATCTTTATCTTTCTTTTTAATGTTTTTAGTATTCATATAATGAGTACAGAACCAATTTCCATTGAAAGAAAAAGAACCAGAAGCAGAAATAGAATGAGAAACAAAAATAAACATAGAACAAAATTTGAAGTGGAAATATGAATTAAATTAAATAAGAATGTAAATAAAAAATTTAAATAGAAAATAAGCACACCTTACAAACTGTTGCTAAAGTTTTATTTACTTTTCCTAATTGTACATATGTACCAGTTTTTACTAAAATTTTCTATTTAAAACTTCGATTTTTGGATATTCAACATAAGATTAAGATTAAATAATTACAAATTTGAGCGCAACCCTAATTGGAAATTGAAAACAATTTCTGACAAATAGACAATTTCTCTAGCAAATTTAATTTACTTGAGATATGTTTAAATTTATTTTACTTGAGATATAATTAAATGTATTTTACTTGAGATATATTTAAATATATGTATAAAAATACGGTCTTAAAAAATTTTTTTTGCTATTTTTGTGTTGAGTTAATTTTTTGAATATCCCTCCTATGCATGTCAGTATTAAAATATCTATACACATAAGTATGTATCCATGTACACCTGTTCTGTTTTTACACGGTAGATTGGTTCCAGAAAAAATCGTGTAGAAAAAGACATTGATTATATGTTATTTTACAATGGACAGTTTTAAATAAAAACACTCTACTAAAAAAAAATAATAATAATAATTTTATATAAAATTTTTAATTTTCAAACCGTGTTAAATTAGAACCGTGTAAAAACAGAATTAGTTGTATATTGAAATATATTTCCCGATGCAATAATAAAAGCTATTAAAACTACAACTTATAGCGATATTTGTATAATATTTTTTAATGGCATTTAAATACACATTTAAATTTAATTAATTTATAATATGTTTACTATTTTCGTGTGGAGTTCATTTTTGAATATCTGTTCTATACTAAATGCATGTTTGTGCTAAACATTTTTTTGATTTTTATGTTTATTCTTTATTTAAGATCTGTACTAGGTTGAACAATTATACAATTTTATGATAGCTTTGACATTTTTTGGTAATCATGCCTACATTTTGAGAAGTATTTAAAGCTTCAGGCAGGAGAGTACGCAGCTTTTTGGAGAGGGAAGGCCAAACATGCGCTTGAATAATAATTAAAAAAAACAAGAGAGAACGCTACAGTCGAGCAAGCCCGACAGTGTAATACCCTGTACCCAGGTAAACTTCCGTCACTGAGTTATATGCGCCCATAGCAGCAGCAAAAAGAGGAAGAAGAAGAGCGAACTTGTTGCTGCAGTTTGGTGGGGTTGTACTGGCGAGGATTTGTTTTGCTAATAACTTTTCTTAGAATTGACCGACATATACCGATTATACAACAGTAGACAATTATATATTAATTATGTGTGCAAAGTTTGGTTTAGGTAGCATTTGAAATGTGGACGCTATTGACGAAATTCTGTAGCGGGGGAAGGGGAGGAAAATTAAAAAAAAAAACATAAACTCGTCCTTACTCGGACCTAGGAGAACCTGGATGCCAACTTTGGTTATTCTAGCTTTTATAGTTTCTGAGATCCTCGCGTTCATCCAGACGGACGGACAGACGGACGGACATGTCTAGATCGATTTCTCTCGTCATGCTGATCAAGAATATATATACTTTATGGGGTCGGAGATGCTTCCTTCTGTATGTTACATACTTTGCACAAACCTAATATACCCTTTTTACCCTACGGGTACAGGGTATAAAAAACTTAAACAATTCCAACTCAGTTCCATTTTAAGGCGAATTTATAATGAATGTATGGTTGACTTTGTATTGTAAAATTTTTTCCTGCGGCGATCAAATATTTCTTATCTTTTAGGATGTGATATACTTTCTTATGGATTAATTATTTTAAGATTGTGAATATGTTCTTTAATATTATTAGCAAGTGAAAGAGTTGTTAAATATAATAATTATAGAAATTTGTTTTTATGGATTATTGCTATAATATTATTGTTATTAGTTTTAACATTTAGTAGAAGAAATTTATTTATGTTATTTATTTTTTGGAAGAAGATTAATTCCAACATAATTAATTAATTTTAATTTTAGGGTGGAGTTATCAACCTGAACGATTACAGGCGATCGGCTTCAGGCCAGTTCCACAAGTTGGAGGAACAATAAGCCGCTCATACAACAACAAAAACTTCACTCAAGTAGCAATGGATTTCCCAGCTGACTGGGTAGACCCCCCATAGAGTTTTCCTATGAGTGGGAATGAAGAGTCTTCAGCAGACTCACTCGACAAAGTCCCAACTACCCTTGAGAGCAACAATCAGATGCTGAACGAACGTCTTTGAGTAAATGTGATGAGAGCGCTCTCTGCCATTGGCGGAGAGCCACTTGAGCGAAGCCAGCTGATTGGCCGTTGCCGTAAAATGGCTGCGCAGCTGAGTGCGTGACTGAGTGAGTGAGGGCGTCGTGAGTGGAGGGAGATGAGATGAGAGTTGTGCCTCCAACCCCCGCTGTGTTGCGCGCTGCCTCGCTAGAGTTCACACCTTCGGGCTATAATCTTTTTAT